TTACAGGCATGAGCCACCGCGCCTGGCAAAAAAAAAGGATTTCGAGGAAGGGATCGCTGACTGGTTAAATGGCACCAACAGGTTAAGTGAGACGAGGACGGAAAAAGGACCTGGGCTTAGTTAACAAATCCAAACAATTTTTTTCCAACTAAAATCACTTTTTACTGTTTTATGATAGTCTAAAAAAATAAAAAAGGAAAGCTCCCTTTCATTTTACATTAAGAGACAGGGTCTCCCTCTGTCACCCAGGTTGGAGTACAGTGGCACAATCATAACTTACTCTGACCTCAAATTCCTACATTAAAGCAATTCTACTGCCTCAGCCTCCCAAGGAGCTAGAACTACAGCTGTGTGCCACCATACCGAGCTTTGTGTACAAGGGGTCTTGCTATGTTGCCAGACTTTCCTGGCCTTAAGCTATCCTCCAACTTCAGCATCTAGGATTACAGGCATAAACTGCTACGTGCTTGCTTCCCTATTAATAAGCAATCCCAGATACAGTAACATTTTAGCACCAAGATACATCTACCTAAACAATGTACTATCTTGCACATGCACATATCTTCAAGACACTGAAGGTGTTGTGAATTCAAGGGCAAAAATGTATCAACATAGTATTTACTTTAAAAACGTTTAAAATAAAAGTCCAAAGCTTTCTTTGGAAATTTAACCGAACTAAAATGTTTTTCTAGAACGTTCAACATATCAAAGTGATCAAAAGAGTCTACTAAGATTAAATGTTGTAATCTGCAGCCTTACTCCTTGGGTAGAATCCATGCTAAACCACTTAAGCAGTCTAACTTTAAGCAAGTTACTTAAATTCTGTACTCCAATACTCTCAACTCTAAAGCATGAATAATAATAGTATTTACTCCTACTCAAGGTTTTGATGATGATTAAATAAACGCAAACTAAGAACTTTTAACCATGGTGGACACAGCCAGGCGCGGTGGCTCATGCCTGTAATCCCAGCATTCTGAGAGGCCAACATGGGTGGATCACGAGGTCAAGAGTTCGAGACCAGCCTGGCCAATATGGTGAAACCCTGTCTCTACTAAAAATACAGAAATTAGCCAGGGGTGGTGGTACATGCCTGTAGTCCCAGCTACTTGGGAGGCTGAGGCAGAAGAATTGCTTGAACCTGGAAGGCGGAGGTTGCAATGAGATACCACTACACTCCAGCCTGGGTGACAGAGCAAGACTCCAACTTAAAAAAAAAAAAAAAAAAAAAAAAAAAAAGTGGTAGACACATAGTCAAAAGTTTAGAATATTCTGTAAGAGAGAAATTAAAGTTCTGTTACTTTTTTCTTTCAACTCAGAAAGCCATTATATGACCCAACAAAGTGTGACAAATAATAAATAGTTTCCTAGAGGCTGATCAGTTCTCAATCTTATTCAGATTTATCTTGCTCATTGATAAAACAATAAAAACTCATTTGAAAAACCAGAACAAGTTATTGTAAGGCCTCTGATAATTATTTTCAAGAGACTGAGGCAGTGGCCTACTCCAACAGGTCTCCTAACTTCCTGCCCTACTTTTACCCTCTTATAACATTCCCCACACAACAGCCAGAAGATGAACCAGATCTCTTCTTGAAAATCCTTCAACAGACTACTTGTGCCCAAGAAAAGATCTTAAGACCCTATAAGGTCCCGTGCTAAGAATGTTTGGTCCTTGCCTACCTCCAACTCCATCCCTCATCTATGTACTCTTGGTAATTATTTTCCAGTATTCTTTCTTTCTTGGTGGTCAGGTTTTTTTTCTACTCATTATCTGTGCTTTCCCATACGGTTTTCTTAGATTCAGCTTCATTAGCTACTTTAAGGTTCCTTCCCTGGCAGCATCCCCCAAATTTCATGTTCTAATTTTGGTTCCCTTGCTATCTTCTCATTCATCCTGTTCTTTTCCTTCATTGATCCTGACAGTGAAAATGCCATTTGTTTACTTTGTTTCTTCCCATGATTTTCTAAATAAATACTTGAATATTTAATAAGTGCCTTATACTTAAATGTTGACATCTCCAAGATGTTTAAAATATTTTTTCCCACCCTCTCAATCTGCTTCCTTCATTTACATTCCCAAACAGAAGCTAGAAACCAGCAATCATACCAAATCTGTTTTTTTGTCCATCTTACCAAATGCATCCTGAGATGCTCCTAAATTTACCTCCTAATCTCCATCACTTCAGCATTACCTTTGTCTAGGCCAGGTCATTCTTCCTTGGATTTTACTATCTCCCTTATACATAATATTCTTCCTTGGATTTTAATATTTCCCAGTGAGCCTTGTTAATGTCACTGCAGTCCAGCCTGGATGACAGACCAAGACCCTTTCTCAAAAAATAAAAATAAAAAAGGAAAATCTGATGCCACTTTCCAGTTTAGAATCTTTCTTAAAATGGCTCACCATAGGCCGGGCGTGATGGCTCATGCCTGTAATCCTAGCACTTTGGGAGGCCCAGGTGGGTGGATCACCTGAGGTCAGGAGTTCAAGACCACCCTGGCCATCATGGTGAAACCCCGTCATTAAAAAAGAAAGAAAAATGGCTCACCATTGGTTTCTGGATAAAATATAAACTCTTTTGCATGGCATTCGAATTTTTATTATCTGGCCTTAATATTCATTCCAGTACCCTACCTCTCTTAAAAGGATCCCCTTATGTGGTTAAGGTCAAGGAGATAAATTTATACATTTAAAATTGTAAATAAAAATAAGAAAGAAAAGAATCCCCTGACCTGTATCCATTTCTGCATGCTTTCTTTAAAAAAAAAAATAATAATAAAAGGGATAGGGTCTCACTGGGCGTGGTATCTCACACCCTTAATCCCAGCACTTTGGGAGGCCCAGGCTGGTGGATCACCTGAGTTCAGGAACTCAAGACCAGCATGGCCAACATGGATGGTGTCTACTAAACCCGGTTTCTACTAAAAATACAAAAATTAAGGCCGGGCACTGTGGCTAACATCTGTAATCCCAGCACTTTGGAAGGAAGCAGATCACAAGGTCAAGAGTTCAAGACCAGCCTGGACGACATAGTGAAACACCATCTCTACTAAAAATACAAAATTAGCCAAGCATGGGGGTGCACGCCTGTAGTTCCAGCTACTTGCGAGGCTGAGGCAGGAGAATCACCTGAACCTGGGAGGCAGAGGTTGCAGTAAGCCAAGATCCTGTCATTGCACTCCAGCCTGGGCAACAGAGCAAGACTCTGTCTCAAAAAATAAAAAAAAAGTGATGGGGTCTCAGGTCTCATGCCTAGAGTGCAGCGGATATTCACATCACACACTACAGCCTCTAAACTCCTGGGCCAAAGGGCCCTCCTGCCTCAGTCCCCAACTATTTGGGATTACAGGCTTATAGGCAGGTACCAATACCCTCAGCTTATTTCTGCATGCTTCAAAAGGACCTGTGTTTGCCTTTCATCATATATTGACAGTATTCCAGTTGTGAAGCCCTTAAAACACAATAAACTATATTCTGTTGAACATATCTTGAAGAAAATAATAAAAAAAAACTGTATTTTATATCCCCAAACAGAACATGTCCCATATGTGTGTAGAATTAACCAAGAGTAAATCAAACTAAACCTATAGTGAACAGTTTCCATACATTGACAGCAGCACATTATTTCTACTTTCTCATACAACGGAGGGAATCAATAAAGCTTGCACCTATTTGAAAAAATTTTTTAATTCCAATTCCTTTTTTAGATACCATCCAGGAATCTTTAACTTTCTCCCACACTGTTTTGAGTGTACCTCTGGTGTTCACTTTAACTAGATTTTACTCTTTTCATCCGAGTATGGTAAGGGGGCAAGTTTTTTAATTTACCCTAGTACAACAGCACCAAATACGCCTTCAAAAAATTACTCCAAGTTAGATGCAGTGCCTCACACTTGTAATCTCAACACTTTGGGGTGTCAAGGCAGGAGGATCACTTGAGCCCAGGAGTTCAAGACCAACCTAGACAACATAGCAAGACCCTGTCTCTACAAAAAATAGAAATATTTTAAAATAAAATTATCCCCCCAGCTTGAAATAAGAGCAACTCTAAAATGGTCATCAAAACATTTTGCCGTAGTGAGTAAAATAGTATGGGTTGTTAAAATTCTTACTCTTTAGCTATCCACATCTTTATTAACCTCTACACCATTCCTGTGAATAATACAGAATTCATCCCTTCTTACCATCAAGAACACACTGAAGTCCCCAAAATCTAGCTGGGACTTGAGTCACTATTGTAAATGGGGACAGTCTTAGACAGTTCCTGATTGGATGTAGAGTTTAAACAGATTTCCCTGCTTTCTGAGGTCAAAAAGCCTATCCTCCAGTGAGACGGCGTTTTTTTTTTTTTTTTTGAGATGGAGTTTTGCTCGTTACCCAGGCTGGAGTGCAATGGCGCTATCTCGGCTCACTGCAACCTCTGCCTCCTGGATTCAGGCAATTCTCCTGCCTTAGCTTCCTGAGTAGCTGGGACTACAGGCACGCGCCACCATGCCCAGCTAATTTTTTTTGTATTTTTAATAGAGACGGGGTTTCACCATGTTGACCAGGATGGTCTCGATCTCTTAACCTCATGATCCACCTGCCTTGGCCTCCCAAAGTGTTGGGATTACAGGCGTCAGCCACCGCGCCCAGCCCAGAGACAGCATTTTAATATTGTCATATCTCTTATGGTTTGACTCTTGAAATTTTAATGAGATAAAAATAATCTAATATGTTGTCTTGTTGATAATCACTAAAACTAGCCACTTTCATTTTAAACTTCAGCTGCTATTTCCAAGAATCCAAAATGTTCAAATCAGCCCAAGTTAATTAGAAACTCATTCCATTAGTTTACAAATAACCGAGGTGGTCCCCCTTGGGAAACAACTCAAGATGCACACACAAAACGTTTGCATAGTCCAAGTACTTCCAGAGGCTATGACCTATACACATCAACTAAACTTAAACGGGTTTATTTCCTAGTCTTTGTAATGAATCCAAGTGGACCTCACACCTCTTACCATCACCCAGGAAGGGTGTGCATCTGTTCCGAAGGCCCCCCTGGCTCCAGGTCATCCTGGCTGCTGCTGCTCCAGGCTGGGCATCCATGTTGCTGCAGCTTGTGGTTTGTGAGGGGTAGTGTACAGGAAAAGCAGGATGGGATTTCAAGGGAAACAGGAGGAAGATGGCTTTCAGGGAAAATGCCATCACGATCATAGTGTTAAGTAGTACCACACACATTTTATTGCAGCACAGTTTAAAAATTTAACAAATGAAAGATTAAAAATAAAAAAACAAAAATAAAAAAAATTAAAAATACAGACGTCCAGAGATGCTCTAAAACAGTTAAGTTAAAGATCAGGAAAAATAAGGTCATAGACTTAACAGCCAGTAAAATTCTTTCAGTGTGGGGAAGGGGATGAGGGCAAGGGTGGGGTTGGGAGAGAAAAGGTTTATGTGATCAATCCACTTAAAAATACTAATGCCTTCGCTTTCTCTCCCAAGATGCAAAACTCCAAAGTCAATCAGGAGGCCGGAGAAATTCTTAGAAACATTCAGAAAAACTCGATTTTAATCCGGTTAAAAATCATCAGTGTCATTATCATCATCATCATCACCATTATAAGTATTAATATAATAAGTAATAGTAACTAGTAACAACAATAAAAAGGAAATCAGCGGAAAGTCAGGAAAAATGTTAAAAAAAAATTGGAATAACTTACTGTAGCTGAAGATCAAAAAAATCTCACTGTAAAAAAACAAAAATAAAAATAGCCCAGATTAGAAAAACGGGAGGTGTAAAAATATCAAGTCAGTAAAGTTCATTTCTTTTCTCTTTCCAAAAGCAGTTTCCACAAAAACCGCAAGGATAAGTTCTCAGTAGCAGACAAGCAAAGCCCTTTCCACATCATCAATCAATCTTAAAAATACACGAGGAAGTAGAGAGGTCAGTTTATGAGAGGCTAAAAGGCTCCTCCTCCTCTAACCCAACTGCTGCAGAAAAAATAGAAATAGAAATTTTAAAAATTACATCTTAAATCCAGGTCCCGGTCTTGGAAACAATTAAAAAAAAAACACCTGTACATTTGCCGCGTAGTGCACACCAAGTTGCATCATTATGTTTAAAATGTCTTTATAAAATCAGTTTTGGAATGGGAATGTGTGTGTTCTGGAAGGGTGGGGAAGGGAGGTTAAAAATCAAAGCTGAGCTCCAGTGAGTAGGGATGGGGTTCGCCTTGCTGCCCTGTGAAAGGAGAAGGGACAGATTGAGTCAGAGTTCCTCAGAAATGTTGTGCCCTAAACCCCCAAGACAGAAACATCTGTCTGTTGCATCTAACACATTTTGGTAAAGCATTAACATTTCACTGGGATGGGATGGCCTCCATAGAATCACCTCTACCAGTGAGTGTTTTCACAATTCTTCAACATCAATGACTAAAATTAACTAAATCCATGTCAATATGCCCTTAAGGGGCTCAAAAAGAATCCACATTCAAATATTCATCTTCATAATGTGCAGTTTGGGCAAAGAAAATACAGAAAACCGGGCCAACAGAGATGAAATAGTGAGCAAATGTTGAATTTTGAGATCATAAAAAGTAAGCAGATTCATGGGTTTTAAACTTAGTGGAGTTTTTTCACTATGAGTAACAGACTGAAGGTGAATGGCCTACCATGAAGCTCTAGAGATGACTCATCTATTCTCAAAACCAGTGAGTGATCAAACCACAAGACCTAATTAGGTTCTCCTGTTAGGGGAAAAGATGTTTTAAATAAAGGGCACATTATTCTACTCACTGACAAAACGAAAAAATATACAGATGGAAGAGAAAAGACCTATGGCTACTTAATATTTCATGTCATAAAATAAGTGAAAAAATTACTGTCCTGCCAGGTATGGTGGCTCACACCCGTAATCCCAGCACTCTGGGAGGCCGTGGCGGGTAGATCACCTGAGGTCAGGCATTGGAGACCAACCTGACTATCATGGAGAAACCCTTTCTCTACTAAAACTACAAAATTAGCCAGGTGTGGTGGCACATGCATGTAATTCCAGCTACTCAAGAGGCCCAAGGAGGAGAATTGCTTGAACCTGGAAGGTGGACACTGCAGTGAGCCAAGATGGTGCCATTCCACTCCACCCTGGGAAACAAGAGCAAAATCCCTGCCGCAAAAAAAAAAAAAAAACAAAAAAATTCCTGTTCATAAGTGTAACACTTCGTTTCTGTATTCCACCCTTTACTAAGTAGCATCTATAGTTAATTTCAAGTTATGGATTCTAAATATCTGGTATATAATACCATACTAAAAATTCACAACTGTTTCATCAGCTAAAATAAAAACTGCAATTAGACTGTAGCTCCTTAGGCAAACAAACTAGCTGCACTCACTTTTCAATTTAGCCATTAAGTCTTTATTCTCCTTTGAAAATTTCAGGAAATTAATATATTTTAAGGCCGGGATGGGGGCTCACACCTGTAATCCCAACACTTTGGGAGGTGGGGTAGAGCATGGCTTGAGCTCAATAGTTTAACACGAGCCAGGGAAACATGGGGAGACCTTGTCTCTATCAAAAATAAAACATTAGCATGATATGGTGGCCCATAGTCCCAGCTACTTAGGAGGAGCCTGAGGTAAGAGGATCACTTGAGCCCAGGAGTTTGAGGCTGTGGTTAGCTATGATCATGCCACTGCACTCCTGCCAGGGTAACTAAGTGAGACCCTGTCTCAAAGTTTTTTTAACTGAGCTTTCAGAAGTGTTCCTTGAGCCAACTATACACGAATGACTACAGCAGCAACCGGTACTATAACTAAAACCGTAAATTGTTTTAAAGTAGAACAGTGTAGGAATGACAGGTTAATTTTTACATTTGATGTGTGAAACTGTACAAATGTACAAACTGTAGAAAGTCTGTGCAGAATTGTAGGAAATGTACATGTGAATGCTCTTGTTTATGAAATAGTTATGGTGAAACATTCCATTTTCTTGGAACCAGAACCCAAACCTGGTACACAATTTTTAGGATATGTAACTTTACAGCTCAACCACACCAAATCCTTTGTACATGTGCCACAAAATATAGGCTTAAAAAAGAAAAATGTGAAAAGCAAGCATGTCTATCTTTTGATGTCAAGAAGTTATCTCCCAAGATGTTACTTACGTTAAACTGGTGCTATCACTCATAAAAAGACCAACTTCAGTACCATTTTCGATCAAGAGTATTCCTAGAGGCTGGGCGGGGTGGCTCACACCTATGATCCCAGCACTTTGGAAGGCTGGGGAGAATGGATCACCAGCCCTCAGGAGTTCAAGGTCAGCCTGGACAACATGGCGAAACCTCGTCTCTACCAAAAATACAAAACATTAGCAGCACTACTCAGCAGGCTGAGGTGGAAGGACCCCTTGAGCCTAGGAGGCGGAGGTTGCAGTGAGCTAAGATGCACTCTAATCTGGGTGACAAAGTGAGGATCTCAAAAAAAAAAAAAAAAATTAATACTTAAAAAAAAAAAAAAAAAAAGGCATCCTTAGATAAAACTCAAGAGACAATTTTTAATAAAAGTATCTCTAAGTTATTCTTTGTCAAACCTGCCAGAGGTTTGCATCCCTTCTTCTCAAAGGGTACCTCTCAGAATGACTGATACATGAGCTTCATCAACTGGAACTTTCTAGAAGTGCAAATTCTCAGGCCCCACCCCACACTTACTTAATTAGAAACCCTGGTGGCAGAGATCACAGCTATCTGTTTTAACTATTTTGATTCTGATGTCAGCTAATGTTTGAGAACTACTGTGAAGAGTTTAAATGGGGAATCCCTGTTATTCCCTCGTTTAGAATCAATTCTTTAGACAAAGTGCCTGCCCTTCCAGTGTCATGTGACAGAATCAGGTTTGAGCACTAAATGTTTTTGATACAATATAAATGAAACCAAAAAAAATAAGCAATCACAATAAACGTCCCAAAGAAATCTTTTTTCCTGTTATGTTAATAAACCCAAATACTGAGAACACCTGCAGATGCTACACCTCGATGTTCTGGTTCTCACCAGTCAATCCTCTAGTAAATCTAATATGCACAAAACCAAACTCTTCCTGTTTCCAAAGAGAACACATGAATATACGTACTAAGTAAGAGCAAATAATGCTCCCCAGAGACAATAAATTATTTGAAGACTGAAATAGTAATACTAGTTAGTATTATAGTCATACTAATTAAAATAGTAGTAATACTAATTACTATTTTAATAGTAATTAGAATAGTAGCAATAACTACTAACTTAGAAAACTGGCCGGGTGAGGTGGCTCACGCCTATAATCCCAGCACTTTGGGAAGCTGAGGCGGGTGGATCACTGAGATCAGGAGTTAAGAGACCAGCCTGGCCAACATGGTGAAACGTGCCTCTACCAAAAATACAACAATAGCCAGGTGTGGTGGCGCACGCCTTAATCTCAGCTACTCTGGAGGCTGAGGCAGGAGAATCATTTGAACCCGGGAGGCGGAGGATCGTGCCATTGATTGCATGCCAGCCTGGACAAGAGACTCAGTCTCAAAAAAAAAAAACTGCTTACTGCTTATAATAAAACTATATCTGTACAATATTTAGTCTTCTGGACACAAAAAACTTGAATTAGAAACTAAAAATTCAAATAGGTTAAAAAGTATTAAATCCTCTTATGTGAGCAAGGATTAAAATCTAGTTCTAACTCCTAGGCAAACTGTTACACACTCCCAGTCAACACCTCTCACATTCACCACTTAAATATTAAACTTTAACAATTCGCCCCTTAGTATTTTAGAGCAACTAGCTACTTTGGAATTTATTCTGTTTCACACAGCCATTCCAACAAAAACAAGGTCGAATGCCCTCTCAAATCCTCTAGAGATTTAATTACAAACGTAAGCTGTTTACATTCTCTACAGAAGGAATTATCAACCACAAAGTATTCCCAAGAGTGGCACAGGCATGGGGGGAAAAAAGGTCAGAAGACCTGCATCTTGGCCATTCTTCTTACACTTTTCCCGCTAGCCAATGTGAAAATGTTACTAAATGCGTATCTAGTTGAGAACACACCTAGAATTGTGATATAAATCCAGTGGCAAACAGTTCCTGACATTAACTCAAAAAAATTGTTCGTACCCAGATATACATATTGACCGGAAAGAACCCGTATTTCTAATGCCTCAAAGGCAAAGTGGCCTTCAATCAATTTCAATTACTATTAACTGTTCTTAAATACGAATTTCTGACATTTCTCTTTGCCAACATTATTTTTACTACCTATACGATTTCCCAATTAATTTTTGCCCTTATTTCATTTCTAACAGTTCAGCACAATGATAAACTTTAAAATCCACGTATAATACAGATGTTTAGGCCATAAAGGGTCGCGATGTCTTTGATTCTTATTTTACTTCCCATCAAACAGGTTGCCTTATGGATGAATTTCTTACTCTGCGAAATTAAACTGTGCTCAACAGCTTTAGTTTGAAATTAACAGATTGTGAAAAATAAGCTTAACCAAATCTCATGTGAGAAATACAAATCGATTTCCCAGATAAATGTGACACCGAAGATTATAGTTTTTTAACTTAAATTTTTCTATCAAATTTCAGTACCTAGCAAGTAATAAGCACCGTAGTATTTGCTTAATATAACTTAGCTGTGATTTTGTGCCGAAGTTTAGGTGGACGGGAAAACTAATGCCAGAATATCCTGAAAG